AAACGAAAAAAGCATTTGCAAACGGTTCATGGATATTCTAAAGTTCCCCCAATCCCTCGACAGGGTTTCGCAGTTCAGGCAGTTCAAGCTTCTCAGTCTGTGGTCAAACGGCGTTGGGAGCACAGGGTTGCTGAGTTCCAGAAAAGAGCTTGGGCCGGCGCGCACGATATAGGCAGTAAGGCAGTCTGCGTCACAACCTATACATGCGCTTCGGGGAAGGTTTTGCAATATCCCCGATACCAGTGCAAGCGATGTAGCAGAACGGTGACGGCAGGCGACGTGCCCATCTCCATTTGCTCATCCCATCCAGACCGCAAAAAGGCGCCCAGCCTGAAGCGCAGAAAGCAAATTTGGCAGCAATGCCTAAAAATAGCTGCTCAACTGAGCAAAGTTGCTGATGGCGTGAGTGCAACACGCCGCGGCAATCGAGGCATTCGAGTAGGCGAAGCCGCCCACCCAGGACCAGGCGGTGACCGCCGATTGCTTATGTGGTCAGTGAATGTGAGGTCTTGGTATGCCAACGGACCTCGCCACCTTGATGAAGCAACAGAAAAAGGGGTTGATGTTGTTTTCTTTCAAGAAACAAATTTGACAGAAAACGCTTGCCCATCGGTTTCCCAAGCGTGGGCTATCAAAGGCTGGCAGATTCTTTTATGCCCCACTTACAATAAGACATCCAATCGCGGAGGCGTTGCCATTGCCGTCCGCAAGCCTTTTGCTTTATCTTTAAGGTCCCAATCTAGGTCTCCTGAAGGTCAAACCATTTCAGCTGTATTGCACGGTGGCCAGCATTCCTTTTCGGTTGTTGTTCATTATAGGCACCCATCAGCTAAGGATTTGAGCGGTGTCACCAGCATCATGAACCATCTGGAAGCTTCCAGAGACAAGTCATGGATTGTTGCCATGGACTCAAACACAAACCTCACCACTGGCCCCAGCAAAGCCCGAGCTCAGAAAAAGAAACACCTGACTACTGAGGCTGGTGCTGGTGCCGGTAAGCGGTCACAACGGCAGTTTTCCAAAAAATCTGCAGGAACCTCAGCTACTGGTAGAGGCCTTCGAGCCCAGCGAGTCGGCGAAGCGAGTCACCCTGGCCCAAGTCGGAATGAGACGCTCAGGATCATGTGTTACAACGTGAGTTCTATTCATCGTCACTTTCATGAACTTTTAGCTGCGGCTGATCGTAACAAGGCTCATCTGATTTGTGTCCAAGAAACCAGGCTGACTGCAGCCTCAATTCCCACTTTTGCTAATAATTGCCAACGGAAGGGTTGGCACTGTTTAGCTGCCCCTATCAACCGGGGGGCACAGGCCACCAACCAAGCTTGTGGTGGGGTTGCAATTCTCAGCAGAGAACCATTGACCTTGACCTCAGCCTTCAGCACGTCAAAAAACTGGGGTGAAATTCTGGTTTGCGAATTATGGGGTGCTTCTATCCCACTGACTTTGATTTCAGGATATCGCAGGCCCACGTGCCCTCCTGAGGCTGCGTCAGAGTTCCTTTTGGAAGCTCTCCTCCCGATAAAACATCGTCATTGGGTCATGTCGTTGGATTTCAACATTCCCCCGGATGGTTTGCCCTTGAGTGATGTCTTAGATGAGGTGAATGGTCGGTTCATTGGTGGTACCGGTCACAAAAATAGCAGTCAAACCATTGACACTGTTTGGTCTTCTTCCGGCTTGGTTGCCCGTAAAGGTAAGGACTTACCCCTGATTTCTGATCATTATGGTAGTCTTGTTGAACTTGAACAGGTCCTGGTCACCAATAACCCCCCTAATTGGATGTTCAGGCCTCACGCTCCTATGGTTCAACAAGATGATTGCCATGCCTCGGTTTCTGATGTGGTTGACCCTCAAGTGCTTTGGAACTCTGTGGCCACCTCGCAAGAAGCTTGGAACACCATGGTGCAGACCGGTTCCAGTAATGGAATTTGGGATCAATGGTCCAAAGATGCTGAAAGTTTTCTTCTTGCCAAAGGATCTATTGAGTCGGGGACTCACTTCCAGCCTAGGGGCACGTGCCCGCGACTTTTCTCGGCAGCAAAGACCTTGGCTTCTGGTCAAAGCCTCAGAGAACGACAATTGCGCCGTCAGTTACGACGGATTCAGGAAAGTCAAGAAATCTTCAGAAGGGGACGGCAGCCGGAACCACAGTTATTGTTTCGTGCTAAGATCGGTTGTAGGAACCTCCAACTTCCTCAGCCTCGGAAGCCAGCGGACTGGGGACAGGTGGGAAAGCAGGTACAGGACCTGCTCCACATGTTTCTTGATCAAAAACAGCAAGAATCCATTTCCCGCTGGAAGCAGAAGGTTGCGACAGTCACGGGAGCATGTGCCTGGGTCCGACGTCGGCCCCCTGCACCTTCGCTTCTCAAACATGGTGAGGTCGTCACCACGGGCAGGTCAGCAGGAGCAGCGTTACTCAAAGATGTCTGGACTCCTATCTTTAATGGGAATAATTACATCCCTGACCCCGATGCTTTCATCCAAGAATACGATCCTTGGCTCCCTAGGTTTGATCAAATTTCTTTGGATCCCATAAGTCTTGATGAGCTTTGGAAAACTTTACGTAAGATGAAGAACACATCTGCTGGTACGGATGGTTGGTCGGCCGCACTTTTGAGCCAACTCCCGGCAGAAGCGTTGACGCGCCTTATCACCTTTTTTCACAAGGTGGAACTTGAGTCAAAATGGCCGCGAAGTTTCTATCACTGGAGACTGGTCTTCCTGCCTAAGGACTCGGCCGCCAAATCAGGAACACAGGCGGAGAAAACTCGGCCTATTGCCGTAGGCTCACTTCTGTACCGCTGCTGGTCCAAACTTAGATTTAAGTCTTGTAGCGCCAAGTTGGAAAATGTGTTGGCGGATTTCCAAGTAGGTGGTCTTAGAGGCCACGATAGCCAAACTTTGCTGCTGGCCTTTCAACAACACTTGGTTAACCATAATTTTCCCCTTGGTGCCTCGTTGGACTTCTCTAAGTGCTTCGATTCTGTTGATTGGATTTTGGTTCATTCCTTACTCTCCAGAATTGGTTTGCCGCCCGCTGTGACGGGCCCTCTCAAAGACATGTGGCAGAACCAAGAAAGATGGTTTACTTTTGGGGGACAAGTTCATCCTGAAACTCTTTCTAAATGCCATGCCATTTTGCAAGGGGACCCATTTGGTCCGCTGGCTTTAGCGGTCACATTAGCAGGCCCACTGCGGAGAATCAAAGAACGATGTGGAGCTCAAAGCCTCACTATCTGTTACATGGATGACAGGTCGATGACTTGTGCCAACATCGATACCTTGCGGCAGTGGCTTGCTGAATGGCGTCGATTTGAAGATTTCACTAGATTGAAAAGTAACCATGAGAAAACACAGGTTTGGGGTCGCAATGACCAAGCCAAAAGGGAACTGCAAGAGGCTGGGTTGGCTCCAGCCTCACACATGAAAGTCTTAGGTACCATCCTTGGCGCTTCACGTCGGGGCCCCACTGAGGATGAAACCAACAGGCTCTTGCAAGCTGGAGCAGTTTGTCGTCGCATTGCGCTTATGCCTTGTGCTCAAAAGCATAAACGGTTAGTGGCTCATTTGATGGCAACGCCAAAAGCGGCGTGGGGCCTGCTCTTGACGGGCAGGGCGCCAAACCAAGCTGAAATCAAGACCTTTTCCCAGGCCTTCAACAAAGCTACCAAGGACAATGGTTATCCGGGTGGTAGAGCCTCTGTTGAACTTAGGAAAGCTTTTTTCCTTTGTCACGGATGTGACTTGGGACTGGTGGCCACCCAGTCCATGCTCAGGGCAGCAGCTAAATGGCATACCCTTTCTGAATCGCGGGTTTCTTGGACGCACGACCAGATTCGTGCTTTGTGCTCAGTCTTCAGCCCGCTGGGTTGGCGGGTTCATGCAGATGGGGTTGAAGGTCCCAATGACCATCGGTGGTCCTTTTCCAGCCCTCCTGATCATTTAGGAGCTTCTCTACATAAACTGCGCACTTCGTGGCGCATGGCCTGCATGCGCAGGTGGCGTGCTGCTAAACGTATTGATGCTCAGCTAGCCCGAAATCAAGACCTGATGCTTTCTGAAGAGGTCTTGGACAAGGTCCGCTCCATCGCTTCATGTGCCAACAGTCACTGAGTGGCCATCCTTACTGGAGGAATGTCCACCCAAGCTGTGGTTGAAAAAATTCACCAAAGGAATCCTAGGACTCCTCAGCAGTGTATGCATTGTATGCAAGCACAAGTCCCTAGCATGCACCACATCTTATGGAGCTGCTCACGGTTCAACCACCTGAGGTTGCATCCAACACCTCCTTCTTGTCCTTTGATGGCTAGGATTGGTTGGGGGGAGGCAATTGCACCATTACCCCTTTTGCACCAGATGGCATCCATTCGTGCTGCGGAAGCAGCCCTGAGAGAAAAGGAGCGCCGGGGGCGAGGGGGGGGGCCCTTGCCGCCTGAGAACTGAGTTTTCACCAGTCGCGCCGCTTGCGGCGCTTGCTTGGGCAGCTAGCGCGTGGCACGCTGCTGCCAATGCTACTACTAGTGAAGTGTGAAGTGTGGACTGTGAAGTGTGAAGTTTGGAGTGCGAAGAGTGCAGTTTGACGTGTGAAGTGTGGAGTGTGACGTGTGACGTGTGGAGTGTGAAGTGTGAAGTGTGGAGTCTTAAGCGTGCAGCGTGAAGTGTGGAGTGTGAAGTGTGTAGTGTGGAGTGTGAAGACTGCAGTGAGAAGTGCGAAGTGCGAAGTGGAGCTTCAAATGTGACATGTGAAACAAGACACTAGTTTCGCAGAGTGCACGCACGCACGGGCTTGGCTGGCGCACGGCGCAGGCAAGTTCTATAGATGAGAAAGGTCTTATGTATATCTTTAAGGCAACTTCCGCCCCGCCTCGTGCGGGTACTACTGGTATATAATCAGCTATAAATCCTATTAGATCCTAATGTTTGTTAGTTAAATCACCATTTTTAGATGGTTTCCTCATTGGCACCACCCTGACCCCATGGTTCTGCTGGTCCAGGGCGTCAGCGACTCTGACAAAGCGGATTTCATCATCGACAGCCGAGTGCGATTCCCCGGCACCAGGAAGTGCTTATAGGATGACTTCACGACAAAGTACCCGAATAGGTAAACTAACGTAGCTATAGAAAATCACGGGTAAATCGACTATAAATGGCAATTTTCAAAAGCTAGCTCAGCCTTATGTGGACCATTAAAGATCTCCGCAAAGGCTTTTGGGTCAGCATTTCCAAAGGTTCCAGTTGCGATGCTTTTCCATGGAGCCTTTGATGTTACCGCACATGCGGTTATGGGCCTCCCTATTGTGAAAGGGCATCCAGCCCTAGGTCCACCACATAGCATAGCCCTCGCAGAGGATGGCTCTTTCTTGGCTCTTGAAAGTGGAGATGTTCCGAAATCTGAGGAATATATGAATGGTCACTTCGAGCAATTTGAAAGCCAACAAGATGGATAAATCCCTCTGGAGTCCTCATCTCGTTTCCACGAGATATGAGAACGAGCTTTTTGAGGAGATCAAGAGGGATCCCGATCTTGGTTTACGCCCCATCGTGGATGCAGCGGTTCAGAGTGCATTTCGCACGACTCAAATCACTAAGCATGCAGTCAGCAATGCGGCATTGAGTCCGTCATATGTTGAAAGCAAACTTATTGAGCGCCATATGGCGATTTGGTAAAGGCAGGCGTCCAAACCTGTCTAAAAAGACGAAAGCTTCTTCCGAATAAAGGCAAGCCTTATTCTGGAGAAGCTGAGGCAGGATATGCCATTTTCGGAGGTAAGTGATGACCCAGAAATATCTTCATGGGATACAGTTTTTCCTCTGGTAATGAAACATGGCAATCTGGAAAATCCATATTTTTTGAAGTGAAGATTTCCCATGAAAACCCCAATTACGGGTGAACCTCTAAGCGGTCACATTCACCACCTGTTGGTTGATAGAACAAAAATGGGTCTCTCAGAAAACTGTGGAATACCCAAAGATACATAGAGATAGGATTTTGGGGTACTCCATTTTCAGAAAAATCTGGGATTTTGTTGCAGAAGTTAAGATAAAAAATCTGTACTGTAGTAATGATGGCCAGCGCCTGTTTTTTGTTGAATAGGTTGATATCAACCTGCTACCGGAACCATCCAGCGATGACAAATGAGGATGGACATGTCGACCAAACTGCTGGAGATTTAGTGGAAAGTAGTGACCTCCAAGATATAACTTGGTGCATCAATTGCTGGAAACAAAAAGGGTGATTTAAAACCGAAGATCCAAGTTAGCTGTACTGCCAAAGATGGGGATACTTGACCAAACATACATGCGAGTATAAGCTTGTGCATCCTTGTCAACTCCGAAGATAAAAAAAGATAAACACATATACTGGTTGGTGGTTTGTATCATTTTTTCCATATATTGGGAATAATAATCCCAACTGACCAATATTTTTCAGAGGGGTTGAAACCACCAACCAGTATATGTGGCTTTGATTGAAAAGTAGGATGCACAAAACTCCAGGCTACTTTTCATCATTGTCCGTATCCAATACCATCCGATTCTCAAACATGGCTTGCTGGAAAATATCCCATTTGGTTAGATTTAGTTAGATAAGTTTCCCAGACAAATTTCCATTTGGTTCTAGGATTTCCAAGTGGACCGTCATATGTGATAACCCCCGAGGGATCTCGAGTGTATTAGTCAATATTCCATTATATTCCATTTAATATTCCATTAGTTCATATTCCATTATGTTCCCAGCATATCTATTATCCAATTATTTAATTGTTAGTATATTCATCTGGTTGGTGGTTTGGATCATTTTTTCATATATTGGGAAGAATAATCCCAACTGACTAATATTTTTCAGAGCGGTGGCTCAACCACCAACCAGTAATATGGGTAAATCCACTATAAATGGCCATTGTCAATAGCTATGTTAGTTTACCAGAGGGTATTTCATTGTTAATCTATTCATCATTTTGCTGTCTACCCCGCATGTCAACACGCAAAGATCCACAAAGCCCTTGCGGGAGCGGCTCCAAGAAACGCCGTTCAGGAACCCGAGAAGAAGCCGGCTGTGCCAGGCGCGATGTTGGGGGAGCCAGGGATGAGGTGGGGCCGGGTTGAAGAACGGTTTGCACCAGTTCTGAGAAGATCAACCCAATGATACACCACAAGTCTATAGGAATGCTTCATACCCCTGGAAATAAATGGTGGTCTATTCTTACTGGTGCTTAGTAGGGAATGGGGGTTGCTGGGATTATTAATAGTTTTTGTGAATCATTCCCGAAAATTCCCTACGTTTAGCAGATTTGCATTTGCTACAGCGTATTACTTTCGTCTTTGTGGTTGCAGGGTTTCTACCTTACTTGCCACGGTAGTTTCATGATGTTGTAAACCAGCAATAAAGCTTCCGTAGGGAGGTGTCGTGGATGCTGGTCAAAGCTGGGTGCCCCAAAAATGGATGCCTCTTTATTTTTCCCCTTTGTAAATAAAAGTTGCAATTGAAAATCCCCATTAGTGAACGTTTGAATGGGAAAATCACCTAGCATAAATAATGGAGACAGTCCATTGCCACATTTGATTCCCGGAATTGGCCAAAATCTCCATGGACGTGTGCCTTAAAATTTGACCCAGAACCATATTTTCCCGTTTCTTCATGATGAAATCCTCCATTTACTTGTGCACCTTTTGATCCCTTGGTTTATCAACTAGTTTTCCATTCAAGCATTGCCATATATTGTTGGTAAATCCGTTTGAGACAGACTCAAATATCATATTGGATTCATATTGGCAATATTGGTCTGTACAACCCATATTTGCAATGTTTCTAGTCTGGTAATTCATTGTAATTCCCTGTTTATACCCATAGAATTGATGCTTTACCATTAAATCACATGGCCGGGGGGTCAAGACCCTGTTGCCCTTCTGTTCACATGAAACTACCTGTTTTCCAGTATTCCGTAAATTCGTGGAATATCATAGGCTTCAATATGGTTCCACGATGGAGGTGTCCTAAAATATGGCTACGCCAAAACATGGCTTTTCCCATTGTCAAGAACCAGTTTCGGATGATTTTGGATGATTTTGGGGTAACCCCACTTTAGGAGACCTCCATTTTTTTCATATGTTTGTTACTGATATCCTCAATAACCAGGAATTTTGGGATGATAACTTGGGGTACCCCCATGACTTAGAAAACCTCCACTCTTCGCCGTCGACAGGCGAGGTGGAAGAGAAATGGAATCATAGCAGGCATTTGGGCCGGTGAAGAAACGTCAAGCTGCTGAGCATTTTGGGTACCCTCTGGTAATTTGCTGCGGTTTGCTATTTAAAATGGCCATAGAAATAGTTGATTTAGCCATTACATTAAAATGGTGACTTTCCATAGTTGTATTAGTTTACCAGAGGGTATGGGTATCTTCTATTTTCAGACAAAACGAGTGGGGTATACCACCAAAATGGTCACTTTACTATGGAAAATGATGATTCACCAGTAGATTTGGGATACCTCATTTTCAGACCAAATCATCTTCAAGTAGTATAACCCCTAGCTTGAGAATGCTTGAGAACGATACTTCAGATGCTTGGATTACTATGTTTTAATCAATTCAGATGGGTAGACCGAGGTGGACGACCACCTTATAGGACCGGCAAAAAATGGGACCCGATGGCCGTGCCTTCGAGTAGCATTGATGCTTCGAGACCTAAAGACCATGTAAAGACCATGTATTGATGCTTTCATTCCGACCCAATTCGACCGAAGCCTGCGATCTCACTGGGATTGTCAATAGTTAATATAGTGTAACTGTTTCAAATGGCCGCAAGTTTCAGGTTTCTGAATTCTTACATTTTACCCAGATATCAAATGATATCAATGCAAAACCTCTGGCAGTCAAACGTACCGTACCGCTGGGAAATCAGCGGTCCCTAAATGGGGAGTTTACATGGAACATCATGGACTAATTGGATCTCTGGTTGGTGGTGACTGGAACCATGGAATTTTCAATGACTTCCCATTCAGTTGGGAATTTCATCATCCCAACTGACGAAATCCATCATTTTTCAGAGGGGTAGGTATACCACCAACCAGATCTAATTGGGATGTTTTTTGTCACGTATTGGTCTCGATGCCACAGTTCTTATTGATCTGGTTTTCCTATGCTGAAAAACCAGTAGCTTGGTGAAAGCTGCAAGAACCAGCCCCAATTTGACCAGACATGGCAGGTAAGCGTGTCCCACGCTCCAAGCTTGTCCAACCGGTGGAGATACCCCAAAATCCATGGGAAAATCCTCTGGTTTACCCTCTGGTAAACATACAAAAACTATGGAACATCACTCTTTTTCATGGGTAGATCGACTATAGATTGCCATTTTCAATAGCTATGTTACATTGGTTTACTAGAGCGTAGAAGTTTCGAAGCTCATTTTCCTTCTTGAAAATCGCTCCTCGCTGCCAGGTTGCGTCAGTACGTGGCATGGGCCAAAGAGCGACGTCTGGACGAGGCTTCACGGAACTCTGGATGAAAAGAATGGCAACCTGTTGGGTAATGCCGGGTAATGTCAACCCCGGTACTCCTCCAATAATTAGTCATAATCTGGTACTTAAATGGTACCCTCCCAATTAAACAGCCTAGGGGTTTGTTAATCCGAGGTTGACATTCAATGGCCATTTCAGGAACCTAAATTGGAGGTACCTACCATATATAAGGCCTATGTAAGGGAATATCCCCACAAAATATGGCCTTATATGGTACAGTACCTCCATTTTAGGATCCTGAAATTCCCATTGATGTAAATTGTGATTTTATGGTGATGTACTGATGATTTTTATAATGATGGTCAGTAATTATATATATAACTAGCAATACCACTATAAATCTAGGGTATTTATAGTGGTATTATTATTTGATCAATGATAATGAGATACAATGGCAGAATCATAGATGTCCTTTTCCCAGTGGTTGGTTGATTAATAGAGGATTGTTGGTTTACCAGTTTACCCCTTTAACAACAGGTAAACGATGATAGATGGTATACCAAACCGGCCCCTCTGTTTTTACCAAAAGGACATTATTGATGGCAACCTGTTGGGGAACTAGCAATACAACTATAAATCTAGGTCAATCTTGGATGGGTAGTTTAGTCCTTTAGTCATGTGGTACCAATGGGATTATCTACTAACCAGCTAAGAATTATTTTGTTTGCAGGGTATCTAAGATTGGTGATTTAATGGTGATTTTTTATGGTCTTACAATGGGTTAACAATGGTGAAGAGTGGGATGATATGGGATTTACCCTCTGGTAAACTAACAGTATAGGGGTTTCCATAAATAAGAGTACCCCCAATAGCTGGATGGTTGATTTCATGGAAAATCCTAACAAAAAGTGGAGGATGACTGGGGGGTACCCCTATTTCGGAAACCTCCATGGACGGATCCAAGTCATTCAAATTATGCTGATATTACCCTCTGGTAAACTAATAGTTTGCTATGGGGAAAAACAATCTTTAATAGGTAAATCAACTATAAATGTGCCATTTTCAATAGCTATGTTAAATTACCCGAGGGTATACTGATATCTTGGGGAAGTGAACGTCCAAAATTCAGTTCCCAGCTAGTTTGGCATTGAAGAGTATCAGGGTGTTGTATGTCTTTGGAACTGGTACTTAGTTGTAGTTGATTGGAAAATTGCAGTGGCAAGTGCGGCAAAAGGTTGGACAAGTGCGGCTCACAGTGCGGAAAACTCAACGCCATGAACCTTCAGGGATGAGTAAACACCATGGTTTACCTCGTTTTTCGCATCTCCTCGTTCTTATTAGACACCCCCATTGTATGCTCCCAAATATGTGCTCTCTACTAAACCATTCATTCTAGGAGGTGTTTAATATTTGAGGGATGAGATCGATACCATATCAATCCATTCGAAACATATATATATATATTATATCAACATTATCCCATTGAGTCCCATTAAGTCCCTTATAAATCCCATTAAATCATTATGAATTCATTAAAGTTATAAAATGTGAAATCATCATGAAATCACCATTTTTAGTGGTTATAAGATGTTATAAGTTATATAATCACCATTAGATCACCATGTTGGTTCCATAACTTGGTAAGTCACCAATTCAATCGCCAGGACGATGAAGCCGGCTCTGCCACTCTGCTGCAGACGTGCCCCGTTTTCGACAAAATGGTGGGGTGGGGACGGTCTCAGACCCAGATGTGGCGAAAAAAACATCGAAAAACTTGGATTTTTTGTGGATTATATATATATATATATATTATATATATGGTTTTTTAGTGGTTTTTATGTGGTTTTTAAATGATTGTTAGTGGAGTGTGTTTTTTTGTCTTTGGCGTTCAGGGTTTGGATTTACCAAACATCTACGAAGAGTGGAGTTGTTGTCAGGGGATCAGCAAACAACAAATACACATCATGTGATTACACACCTGTTTATTCAATTCTTGACTTGGATATAGATTTGACAGGTCTTGCGCTTGAATCAAGACTTTAAAAAACTCAAATTATCCCGGCAAGAGACCCCAAACAGTGTGGGGGGAGTAAAGGGAGAATCTATTATCATGTAGATGATGATGTTAATGTTGATGATGATGTTAATGCTGTTGATGATGTTGATGATAATGGTGTTGTTGTTGATGATGATGAGGATGATATGATTATGATGATGATGATGATGATGATGGTGATGGTGATGGTGATGATGAGGATGAGGATGATGAGGATGATGAGGATGATGAGGATGATGCGAACCTGCGCAGTCGAAATGCACATTGACATGGACATGTCACAAGAGGCATTGCGTGCGGAAATTTACAGGAAAAGTGCCGTGCGCCAAGCCCGCGACACCCGTTTTGTGCGGGCCTGCGCGGTCGAAATGCACATGGACATGTCACAAGAGGCATTGTGTGCGGAAATTTACAGGAAAAGTGCCGTACGCCGCCAAGCCCGCGACACCCGTTTGGTGCGGGCCTGCGCGGTCGAAATGCACATGGACATGTCAGAAGAGGCATTTTGTGCCGAAATTTACAGAGAAAATGCCGGACGCTAATCCCGGGGCAAGCATTTTGTGCGAACCTGCACTTTGCAGTCGAAATGCACATGGACATCTGACAAGATGCATTTTGTGTGGACATTTACAGAGAAAATGCCGGACGCCCCGGATACCACCTCGATTGAACACCAGCCCTTAACTGTTACCGTAAGAACCCATCAGGGTGGCCACACTGTTTGGGGAAAAATTGATTTAAGTCAAATTGGCACTTCTGAATTTGTGTTTCATTTACTTTCTGGGTTTCCAAACATCGCTCTGTCTGGTGCCTTTGGGTCAAGTGGGCCTGCGCTGAGATTCTTTTGCTGACTCCTCACATGGGTAGATACAAGGGGATCAACCATCTTAGGTGGATGTCCATTTGCCAGCCATTTTGCTGTTCGGGCATTGGGTTTTGGACCCATACCCACAACATGCAAAAAGCAAAGGAATTGTGGGTGCCTGTAGGTGCCAGGAAGATAAATCATGTGTATATATATATATATGGGTATGGGTCAATGATACATTTTTAGTGGGATGAACATCCATTTACCAGCTATTCTGGGGTTCACTAGGTACCAGGGTTTTGACCCATCCCCATATATATATATATATATTTATCATAAATAAGCATAATGAGATCAACAATGGAGGCTGATCTCATGGTCAGACTTATTTCGATTATTTCCATCCTTAGCACAACATCGATCAGCAGTAGATCCATCCGCTAAGATAATCCTTCCACTTCACTCCCCGTCCCTGTCAGGTATATCCCCACTTTGCGTTACTAGTGCTTGTCAGGTTTTTGAAAGCAATGGGTTGCATCCCATGAAATACGACTTTGTCATGGTTTGTCCAACCAAAATTGAATCAAAATCGTCAGTTGATTGTTTAATCACCGTAGTTGATGGTGAAATTAGCATTTTGGGTTGTTAAATCCCTGTTTTTCAAAAATACCTATTTTTCATGGTTAAATACTTGTTTTTCATGGTTAAATCACCATTTTTGTTGGCTGAATCACCATGTTCCTATGGTTTTCCTATGGTATTCCTAGTCATGTGCTTTAAGGGGACCCATCGTCCGTAGGTACTTCGGAAAGCTCCGCAGCACCTCCCTGTCCACTGGGGGCACAGGAGGAGTCACTGCACGCACCTTGGAAAGTCCCTTGGTACACTGCTTGGTGCCATGGTTTGTTTATCCTCTGGTAAACTAACAGTTTGCGAACTGGAAAATCACAATTTTTGATGGCTAAATCAACGAACTAAATGGGCCATTTGTTTATAGTTATGTTAAATTACCAGAGGCCATATATCACATATATAACCATCAAACTAATGGGAAAATCATGATATTTTTCCATCATCATGGTTGTTTTATCCCATCTACGATAGGAAAACCATAGTTTGGGGGGATGATTAATATTAGGGTGAAGGGATTACTTTCATTGTTCATTTGTTGTTTGAAATAGTTTGAACTTGCGCAAGTGCAGTCTTGAGCCAAGGCTTCAATGGCATATGGATTTCACTGGCAGTGCTGATGGCGGTGAGCCACCTCACTGGGGCTGGTGCAACCTTTTTAACACACCAAATGGCCCGCGATTCGCAATGCAAGCTCCCGAACGAGCTGATGTGCTCGAACCGATGGGGAAAAAAAAATCCGCAAGAAACAGAAAGAAGAGACACCAGAAGAAGAAAACACACACAGAACCAAAGAAAGGTCTGGGCGAAAGTGGAGTGCTATCCAGACCAAGTGCCTCAGCAACCCTATGCAGAACTTCATGGCCACCATATGCAGGATGCAGAATTGGCGGAGTTTCTGCAAAGGGTCCTGCAAGGTGTATGATGCTTCCAGCTCCGCCCCCGCCTCCTGCTCACGATGAGCACGGGAGATGACAAGGTGCCTAGTTAACCGTCCCTAGCTAAAGCTAAACCTGCTGCACGAATGACGCTTCCATCATTACACCACCATCTTCGACACCAGTGGGTTTGACTTGATATAGTTGCGCATGAATGAGGTAGCACATTGTTTTTGTTTTTGGATAGCCCATAGCTATTTACCAGTAGTACCGCACAAGGCGGTGGCGGAAGTTTCAAACATAGGAAACCTATAGGAGAGGTTGGTTGTTGTGAATCAGGGATGGCAGAGCGAAGCCACTCATGGACTGAAAGGTGCTTGATCTCTCTCTCTTTCTCTCTCTCTTTCTCTCTTTTTCTCTCTGTTTCTCTATCTTTCTCTGATTATCTACCTACTTACCTAATGATCTATCTGTTTATCTATCTATCTATCTGTCTGTCTGTCTGTCTATCTATCTATCTCCCTATCTATCTAAATATCTACCTATCTATCTAGCTGCCTAGTTTTCTAGCTATATGTCTATCTATCTATCTATCTATCTATCTATCTATCTGCAAGATCAAAAACGAAGAAATTCTGCGAGACTTCCTTAATGTTTGAACATAACAACGTCCGAAACGAAGCAATTCTGCGAGACTCCTCATTTGTCGAAATTGAAGACATCAAAAACGAAAGAATTCTGCGAGACTTCCTTCAGAAATGGAAAGTTGAGTGCCGAGCTGACAGCCTCGTACCAATGCTTTTTGCGATTTTTCCAGTCCACCTGTCTAAAGTACTGCGCCTGCCACGGAAAATTGATGCCAGGAGTGCTGCACCTGTCACGCAAAATCATCTTAGCAAACCTGCACATCTGATACTCCAAAATGCAACCCCTCTCAGGAAATCAGCGCCGTGACCTCCTAACATCTCTCATGAACATGTCCTTTGTACTGCGCCTGCCACGGAAAATGCATCTTTGCAGATCCTCTTCAAATGTCCCATGCCTGCCATCGTTTTTGGAAATGCTACAAAACCCTCACGTTTTGCTCACTTTTGAAGAGGTGCACAATCCCTTGCGCCTGCCACGCAAAACGACATCTGAACCTCCAAAAGTGGTCCGAACCCCTAGTGTTTTGTACATTTTCACTTCGAAATGTGCTTCGCGCCACAACGCCGTGCACTTTTTCGACATCTCCACTTGCAAAAGTGGTCCGAGCATGGTGTGCTTTGTACATTTTCACTTCGAAATGTGCGCCACATCGGCGTGCACTTTTTTGACATCGCAACTTCCAAAAGTGGTCCGAGTATGGTGTGTTTTGTACATTTTCACTTCGAAATGTGCTTCGCGCCACAACGGCGTGCACTTTTTTGACATCGCAACTTCCAAAAGTGGTCTGACCATGGTGTGTTTGTACATTTTGACTTCGAAATGTGCTCCGCGCCACAACAGCGTGCAAGTTTTCATCTCTCGTCTGGCCAGATGGCTCCGCACCCGCCGCTTTAGCGAGCCTACTTTTCGACCCTCCGGAGCCTCAAACCATTGGAAAAACACAGTGTTTCGCGACTTTCCTACCTTTTCGCGCATCTGCATCTTCTTTCTTCTGACTCTTTCTCTTCTCTGATCTTCTCTCTTCTAATCTTTCTCTTCTCTCTGCCTTTGCCCTGCTCTGCTTTTCATCTGTCCATATTGTCGGAAGTTTGGCTTCTAAACTTCCTTCGGTAACCCATAGATCACATATATAACGATCAAACTAGGAACACGGCCTTTATCTGGCCGTGGTGTTTTTGTGATCAACGGGGTGTCATGGATGATGTTTGATGTGGTCGTGCCAATAGGATTTTGGCTGATGTGATTTCAAAGGCGAAAAACCCGTGATTCTGGTGCATAAAATCAAAATCTAGCGTTTCGCCTAGGCGAAACTATCATTTTTGATGTTTCTCAGAACTCCCCAACTAATTCGACCTGGATTGTTTTGATGTGAGTTCAAAGACAAGAAACCCCTTATTCTGGTGCAGGAAATGAAAAAACAAGTATTTCGCCTAGGCGAAAACGCATTTTTTGTAATTCCACATGTTATGTATTGATGAACGTTAACACATGCCCCACCCCACCCCACCCCACCCATGTCTACACGCACATAACGGCACACACAGAGACGAGTCCACTGTCCTAGCAAGTTCACATGAACGTTAACACATGCCCCACCCCACCCCACCCCACCCATGTCTACACGCACATAACGGCACACACAGAGACGAGTCCAACGTTCATGTGAACTTGCTAGGTAAGTGGACTCGTGTCTGTGTGTGCCGTTATGTGCGTGTAGACATGGGTGGGTGGGGTGGGGTGGGGTGGGGCATGTGTTAACGTTCATGTGAACTTGCTAGGTAAGTGGACTCGTCTCTGTGTGTGCCGTTATGTGCGTGTAGACATGGGTGGGGTGGGGTGGGGTGGGGCATGTGTTAACGTTCATGTGAACTTGCTAGGTAAGTGGACTCGTCTCTGTGTGTGCCGTTATGTGCGTGTAGACATGGGTGGGTGGGGTGGGGTGGGGCATGTGTTAACGTTCATGTGAACTTGCTAGGTCAGTAGCACATGCCCCCAATGTGCACGAAAACGCACGGCCAGATAAAGGCCGTCCTCCAACTAATGTGGAAATCATCATATCTGTCCATCAATATGGCTGGTTTCTCCCATCTGGGGGGTTTCCATAGCCATGGAGGCACCCCAATAGCTGGATAGTTTATGTCATGGAAATGAAAACTTCTTTCAAAATGGATGATTTGGGGGTACACCCATTTTAGGAAACCTCCATCTATCCCAATGGCATCCTCATGAATCAACAATCATATTACCACCTGATCTGTTTTTGGCACTTTTTGAGTCGTACAGTTTGTACAGTTCATAGCCTACGTGTATCAACTTGTTTTCAGGCCATGGGCGTATTTATGGGCGTATTCATGCGTGATAAAGTAAGCACCAAAGAGATTCTCGAGATGCCCAGAAAAAGATGTAAACCTGGAACATATTTGAAAATTGTGGGGAAGGCATAATCTACAGCAACCTGGACACGATTTTTATTCTTTTTTTGGGGTTGCTATCTGTAAACATACCTACATAATGGTAACATATGGTGATAGAATTTTTGATGAATGAGGATATAATTGGGATAGGCTATATGGTATTATAATGTTATATATTTGAGATATGGGTTAAGAATGGAGATGCAAGGGGAATATAATCAAGTTTCATAGCGGGTATATTTATTTAATTACAGTAGTATGGATGTACTGGGAAATACTGAGAGTTTTTTAGATACATTAAACATATAGTATCCCAGCAAGAGAGCCCATAGACAGTGTGGGGGAGTAAAAAGATCATGCATTTTAATGCTGCTGCTGCTGCTGATGATGATGATGACGATGATGATGCTGATGCTGATGCTGATGTTGGTGATGATGTTGTTGATGATGGTGATGTTGGTGATGATGATGATGATGATGGTGATGATGATGGTGATGATGATGATGATGGTGATGATGGTAGTGATGATTATGATGATGGTGATGATGAAGATGAAGATGAAGAATATGAAGAATATGAAGAAGAAGAAGAAGAAGAAAAAGAAGAAGAAGAAGAAGAAGATGGAGATGGAGATGAAGATGATGATGATGATGATGATGATGATGATGATGATGATGGTTATGATAATGACGAGGATGAGGATGAGGATGATGATGATGATGATGATGATGGTGATGCTGTTGATGCTGCTGCTGCTGCTGGTGATGATGATGATGATGATGAGAGAAAGATGAGGATGTGGATGTTGAGGAGGAGGAAGATGATGAAGCTCAGAATGGATGATGTTCAGGAGGGAGACCGATCCCAAGACCGCCGGGAAGCACACTTTGTGCGAGCCTGCGCAGTCGAAATGCACACGGACATTTCACAAGAGTTTTTTTTTGTGGGAAAATTTTGAGGAAAAGTGCAGTACGCCAATCCCGGGACACCCGTTTCGTGCGAGCCAGCGCAGTCCAAACGCACATGGACATGTCACAAGAGCCATTTTGTGTGAAAAAATACAGGGGAAATGGGGTACGCGACGACCGGACACATCGATACCACCTCGAATGAACACCCGGCCTTAACACTTGCCGTAAGAACCCCTCAGTGTGGCCACACTGTTCGGGAAATATTAACATGCATGCATGCATACATGCATGCACACATACAGTTACATACATACATATTTATTTATATGCAGATATAGATAGAACGTTTAAAGTCGGAAAAGAGGACCTCGTTGATAGAATGGACATAGCCATTGAATAGATATAGCCAATCCAAACTGAGGAATTTGCATGATTAGTGAGGGTATGATGGGCGTGTAAAGAGGATACAAAGTGGAGATTTTTTTTGGGATGACAACTAGGATCCACTATAATAATAAACAGAGGGTGTATAGTTGGGATACGAATGGGGCGTAGAGCAACTCACTGAGGGGAATGTAATGTGATGAATGTATACCTGTATCTTAAATATATGTTTCATTTTTGGTTGCTGTTGGCAGACTTTTGATCAGGGTCGGCCATAAAATGTAATGCAGCAGTTTATCTCACAAGGATGGTTTTTGGCCGATTTTGCGATTCAGTGGCCTGGAATGTTTCAAAAAGAAACGCTTTACCCCCTCTAAGGCTGGTATGAACAGTTGATGACGGAGAACACCTGAAAGTGTGACCAGTTTTGTGTTAGCAAAACCATCAGGCTACAAGACAGTTCCTGATTTTGACGCCCTTCAGCACGGTGATTGTTCCCTGAAATTAAGCTGTAGCGGTTGAACCAGCGGTGCGTTCGATCCACTTCAAACAGTTTGCGGTGCTGTCAACCGCAAACTGCACGAGTTCCCGGTTGATTCCGTGTGGCGATAGGTTTGTTCAGATGGATGCGCATCCCAGATCCCAGTGGTTTGCAAACCTATATTGATTGCTTTATCGTACATATATAACCCAAATGTCATTGGGATATACTATATAGTTATTCTATGTTTATAGAGTTATATATTCCAGTTAGATATGTTTTTTTAATAGAAACTCTAATTATAGCTATACTATAGGTATTTACAAACATCGATGCCTGGGTCCCCAGCCACAACTCAGCTCAGGTTTGGTCCGTTTATCCCAAGCACACGCTAAGCTCATGAACCACAGGCACGACGAAAAACAGCGGAGTCCGCCTTTTAGTGGCGGCAAAAAAAACATCTGGATAAACCAGGGATATATATAGTGAATAACTTATATATATATATATATATGTGGATATATATATATATATGGATATATATATGGATATATATGGATATATAGCGAATATGGCCGATATATCTATAGTTTCTAAGGTTTGTTAACCAAAATATGGTGAGGTTTCCTAAAGTAGGAGTACCCCAAGCATCCCCAAGCGAGCATGAGTTTCAATATGTGTCAATATTGAAATGGTCATCCATGACTTGGATGATTTGGGGTACCCCCATTTCCCTAAAATAAATAATTACAAACCACTATAGACATATTGACCGCGGGTAAAAACCATTCAACCATTACTTAATATGAATCGCCCACTTTTTTTGTACGATCCCCATAAAATATACCCATCAGCCATTATTAGCCATCGCATTGAGCATATTTAAGCATTATTACTCATTATTGATGACCTTTAGCAACCAGTGCAAAAAAACAACATATATTTCCAGGCCAATCTTAGATGGGTAGTTGCTAACGCCGTGCCGGGTGGCCTGTGTGTTTTTCTTCATTTTTGCGTTTTGTATAGTATATATGTATGTATATACATACATATATATATATATATATGCGGTGCAGTGGGATGGGGTGGGATTTTAACGTCCTGACGACCACGTTGTTGATATTGCGTTGTCATCGCATGTTTCACCAACTAGGGAGACGTTGATGATGCAACGTGATTGCTACGTTGACAGCACGTTGGTTGGGGTGGGGTGGGGTGGGATATTAACGTCCTGACGACCACGGCGTTGATACTACGTTGTCTCCGCATGTTCCACTAACTAGGAAGACGTTGATGATGCAACGTGATGCTACGTTGACAGCACGTTGGGGTGGGGTGGGGTGGGATATTAACGTCCTGACGACCACGTCGTTGATACTACGTTTTCATCGCATGTTCCACCAGCTATAGGGCTGGGAAAGCTTTGCAAGGAGCAAATGCGCAAGGACTGGGAAAGCTTTGCAAGTGGCGTGCTTGAATGTGGAAAATGACGCTGACGCCGCCGCCCACAGGCCACCGGACACGGCGTGACCTGGGTAGTTTAATCCTTTAGTCATTCTGTGTCAATGGGATTATCTCCTAACCGGCAAAAAAATTAATCTTTTGCAATGTATCTAAGATTGGCCATGTATTATTCGTAAAGACAAGTCACCATTAACCATTAGTACCTATTGTCCTGGCTTTGTATTGTGATTTTTGGCATTTTCCTGGGATCCAAAAAGGGAATAACTGAATCAACGACGAAAGAGGAATTGATCCATGCCAATCTTGGTTTTGGCCGACAGAAATGGGAATCTGACCTTGCGGAGTTTAGTAGGGACCCTACTCAAGATTTGCAAATCCTTTGGGACTTGGGAAGCCCAATGTCTAACCATGCCCAATAGGGTTCGATTCTCGGATATAATGATATAACCCTATTTGGGATGATTTCAAAGGACCCCCAGTCGTGGTTGGTTAATGCGATGGAGATCAGCATGGTGAAAGAGGCACCCGTTTACAATAGATAGCTTGGTGCAAATAAGACTAAATCTGGTTGGTGGTTTGGAACATGAATGTTATTTTCCATATATTGGGAAAATCATCCCAACAGGACTTTCATATTGTTTCAGAGAGGTAGGTATACCACCAACCAGCTAAATAACTATAGCACCCCAAGAAGATGCTCTCTAAAATGCCTTCTGCTGTCCGTTGCTTGCGACGGTTCCTTTTGAGCGGATTGACCAACTTTAGTTTGTCATCAACAAGTGGCTGGCATGCAAAATGATCAAAATGCACAAGGTGGGCAATCATGGCATCCACGGGCTGCTCAGCGTCAAAGGCTGACTGATCGCGTCATACTGGGGTTCATCCTTTTGAGGGCTATTGACCAACTTCAGTTTGTCATCAACAAGTGGCTGGCATGCAAAATGATCAAAATGCACAAGGTGGGCAATCATGGCAGCCACGGGCTGCTCAGCGTCAAAGGCTGGCTGATCGCGTCATGGTCCTCTTGGGGTTGATCCTTTTGAGGGTTTGTCCCTCAAGGGTTTGTCCCTCAGTCGGCTGCTCTTTCGATCGTCCTGGTTTGATACTTTCCGGCATGTTTTTTTGGGGTACAATTTATAATGACTAATGGTTTATGGTTGACATATCTATCTGGATGAAATATGAATTAATGACCTCAACTTTCTCTGGAATGCTGATTAGCAAGGGGAACCATCCCCATTTGGCTGCAAGTTCCAGCTATGTTCAGGTTCGTGAATTATGGATTGTAGTGAGTATCAAGTGGATTTGGAAATCTAATGATTATTTGTGATATCCTTGTACGATAGTGGTTCTTACGTAGCCAGGAGCATGATTCCCAGTATATAGCCTACTATATCTCCATGGCATCCTCATAAGGCAATTTTTAGGAGGGTTCCTAAAATGGTGGTACCCCAAGTCCCGACTAAAATGGTCATTTGCATCATCCATGACGACTGGATGATGACTGGGGGTGCGAACCATGACTTAGGAAATCCCCAACTAAAGCGCTTGGTTACTTAGCTAAGATGGAAAATTCCCACTATATCTCCACCATGGAATCCTCCAATCAGATGGCTGGCTTCCACGGCATTTTCTACATACTCATTTCCCTTCCAATGTATCCCAATTATATCACCTGGTTGGTGGTTTGGAACATGAATTTTATTTTCCCACATACTGGGAATAGTAATCCCAACTGACTTTCATATTTTTCAGAGGGGTTGAAACCACCAACCAGTCACCATCATTTTTCCATGATTATCCCGGAAAAAAACATTTTGATATATGCGTTAGCCAAATACACTAAATCACTTTTATCTTCCTTAGTCATATATCAACAAAAACGTCACAGTAATGTGGGCAACCCAACAAGAAAGGTACCATTTGGATGGTTTATACCACCCATTTATGGTGATTTTGGGGATTGTTTATTATTCGGTACATCACATTATTCCTGGTGATTTAATAGTGATTTTATGGTTGGAGAATGGGTTAGCAATGGTGAACAATGGGATGATATGGGATTTAGCCTTTGGTAAACTAACAGTGTGCTATTGAAAATGGCCATTTATAGTTGATTTACCCATTAAAATGGTGATTTCCATAGTTATGTTAGTTTGCCAGAGGATATGGGATAGAATGTTGGGTTTGTCGCATTGATTGAACATGGGACTATTGGTAGTAGCTGTTATGGTTGTTTACACTACCATAAAGCCAGTAGAACTGTGTCGTCTTCTAATGGGATTTAACCAGCAGTTGTATATAGTGGTTTTTATGGTAGTTTAACTACAAAAGATAGGGGGATACAAATCACCATGCTCTTTTATGGTTTACCACCATTTGGTTTTCTTCAGATTGATCCAGGTGTGTGCAGATCGAAGATGCCGTGGCAGTGGTCCTGTTGCACCGGGCCTCCTTACAGGACCGACGACACGTGCCCGCGTCGTGTCCAATATAGGAAACCATGGGAAAACCCATAGCTAACCAACAAAAATGGAGAGTTAATGGGATTTATAGCTGATTTATGGGGGTGCAGTTGGGTTCAATAGATTTGACCATGGCACCCCCATAGGTTGGGATATAACTCCTGCAACTATGTCTATGTATCCACCTGTCATTGGACGCACCTCCAAGTATGGTGAGTAGTCATGTGTTCGGATGTTTTGTGATGTTTGTTGGCTGTGGACCATGTCGTTCAGTGGATTGGACGCCTCGAATACTGGTCTGGTTGGTGGTTTGGAACATGGTTTTTATTTTCCATAACATATGGGATAATCCTTCCCATTGACTCATATTTTTCAAGATGGTTAAAACATGTTAAAACCACCAACCAGCTGGTTGTTCTTTGAAGGGGATATTCACTTTGCCAATCATTGCTACCATGGGGTTTTCTGGTCGGAAGGGCTGGAACTCCACACTCCACGATTCGGCAAAATGGGTTTCCAGGGCATCTCCTTGACCCACCATTATTCACCTATTTGATCAGTAATGTGAACCCTGGATGAAAAAAAAACAAACGGTTGTTTAATTATTGGGGGGTGCCATTTAAGTATCATATTATTACTATTTGGATGGTACTACTTCCAGAATTAATAAGCCTAGGGGGTTAATCCAGGGTTGACATTATCATATGACAAATGACATTGCTACGGTTGCTGATGGCGCCACCATTCGTGCCAGTCTTGACATCGTGTAGCTTGAAGCCGCCTGGATCAAAGAAACATGGCGCTATAAATCAAGATATGTTTGAAGCGCTACCCTCTGGTAAATTAACAGTTTACGAACTGGAAAATCACAATTTTTCATGGGTAAATCAACTATTTCTTTGACCATTTTCAATAGCTATGTTAAATTACTATAGGCTATTGTTCAATATCAGATATCATTTTCCTCATGATTGTTCATAGAGCACTGCATGTCCACCTTTGAAATGATCCTCTAAGTCCAGTATGCGTAGGTGTTTATTTCATAGTGTGCATTAGATTCTGTATATCCTTTCGACTCTCTTGCTGTACATCTTTGTCATTAGCAGGACCATGTGGTGGGAGCTGAATCGGGCTTGTCCGGGTGCCCACAACGATTCTGGCCTGCGAGGGAGATGTGAAACAAAATGAAGCACAAGTAGCTGTTCATATGTATGTGTTGACCCTGTAGAAATCCTCAAGCTTCGGGCAGCTCGAGGGAGTTCAACAGAAAGCTGCAGTGGTAGCGCGGGGCACATGGATAAATTATAGCGCCAACCTCGCTAGAAGTGATCGGATTGCTAAGGGTGACTAACTCAAACTGGCCAAACAATTCAGGTTTGTGAAGTTTGGATCATTCAGCCAGAAATATGGATTGTCCGGCACAATGTTTGTTGCCCGGTCCTGCTATTGCCGGACTCACCAGGCTTTCTGCCACGGGATGATCATCTAAGTGAGATGTTAACCATTAACCGGGTCATAAACCAACTAGTTGTGTGAGAAGTAATCATGACTGGTTGGTGATTTGGAACATGAATTTTCTGACGTTCCATATATTGGGAATGTCATCATCCCAAGTGGCTCATATGTTTCAGAGGGATTGAAACCTCCAGCCAGATGATGTGGTTATAAGATGTTATAAGTTATAGATAGTTTTAGACCATTAGCAACTGCTTACTTCTTGTAAGGATTATCAAATTATAACCCTCTTGCATCTTGCTAACCACTATTGCTCATGTAATCAGGTATATAGACGTATTATATTGTCCAGTCATTGATGTTTATCACAAAATAATGACTATATAACTTTATAATCAATGACTGGTCAGTTATATATCCTAGTCAAGTCATTGGGTTTATATCCAAAGGTCAGTTGTAATCGGTACTATCACAAAAATCATGATCGTGACTCACTGGTTATTCACGACTCTTTGGTTATTACCGACATGTCATTGCGGACCGTTTTTGACGAACTGGTTATAGGAACCCCTAGAAATATGGAAAAGTATACTTTACCAATCTTTGCCACTATTTTACTAGCAAGTTACCTCTCTTTTCGGGGGTTGATCTATGTACATAATACTTGTATATATATATATATACAGTATACACATACTTAAGTACAACATATATATATATATATATTTATTATATACGGATGTTTCCTAAAATGGTGGTACCCTCAAGTCATCCATGTTTATATGATTTTCCATTACAAACCATCCATTTACCCGGGTACTCCCATTGTAGGAAGCTCCCATATATATATATATATATTTATTTATATATATATATATACGTATACATATTAAATATATATATATAATACACTATCCTTCCAGCATCATCCCTCTACCGTCATCCCTGCTCCTCCGCAGTCAGGTCCCCTACTGAAGACTTCGCGCCCAGCATGCGTGATCTACACGATGAGACAGCTGCCTGTCAGTGAGCCCAGTGGCTCTTCAAGATGGCTCGGTGCTTAATAACCAGCTGTACCTGGGCTTATCATCCACTTCCTACTGGACCCATGTTTGGGAAAATAATCCATATCTTTATTATCTCTGGGGAACACTTGAAATGAATAGGAACTGAAAATTTAAGTCCTGGGTTTGGGCCTGAACCCAGAGACTCAGAGTCATCATTGCCAGATAATAATAGCAAATCATAGTGATTGGTTCAAAAGTGTGGCTATGACTGGAGAAGCCCGACTAAATGCGTAGTTTGGTGCAACTACAAAGGATTTTTTTCCCAACCGGCCAAGATTTTGAACCCTCATGAAAACCCTTATTGAATCTTCTAAAGATTGGGTCTGTTTGTATCTCAGGTTTGGGGATTTGACCAACAATCCAGCTCTGCCAGTGGAATTCCAGCGACTGTGTAGGTAGTTCATATCAGTCCGTTTGCCAGTTCGATGGGCTGGTTGGCGGTTTCAAACATTTTTTATTTTCCATTTCATATATGGGATGTCATCCTTCCCATTGACGAACTCATATTTGTCAAGATGGTTATTGCACCACCAACCAGTGGGGATAAAACAACCTAACCAGCTTGGTACATGTATCTCAGATTGGGGGCAAGCCTTTGTGAATGGTGGCTTTCCATGGTGATCGTTGCTGCAGCGGAGCAATGCCTAGTTCATGGCTCTTAGAGCAGCCACAGCGTTGGATCTTACGCCTTTGTGAGTTGCGGCGTGCCACAGACTCACCTCCATTCCGAAAAACAGCGAGTGGCGCCGGCCCTGCATAAAACGCTAGCGGCCGATGTTCGCAACTTCTGATGGGGGGCTTGTGAAGAATGGCAGGAAAGGCCCGCACAAAGGTTTGGGCTATTTTTGAAGAAAAGACTCATGCACCTGCGCATTTTTGCAGTGTTCATTCGTTCATTCTGATCTCTAGGGGACTTTAACAACCCAATTTACAGTTTCCCGAATCTACTCTCTGGTCATCAAACGTGACACAGCTATGGAAAAGGGTTTGTTTGTAGAGTATTTTATACCTATTATTTTAATGGTGGTGTTCCATAGCAATCTGTTTGACTACCAGAGGATACATGTCCATTTTGAGATTGCGTGCGTATGTATAAAGCATAATAAATATAGTTATAGGAATTGTATCCAAGCTTTATGGAGGTTATGACCATGTTATCGATCAAAAAAATCAACTGCACCCCCGAGTGTCCATCACCCAGCCACGTCATTGCCTAAGGCGGAGTGCACGTGTCTCTGGAAGGTGCCATGAGGGATTAGAAACCATATCTTGACCAGGATTCAATGGGAGTCAATGGGATCTTGACCAGAAACAATGGGTTAATAAGTGAATAAACCAACTGATGGAGGGTGGTTTAAATTTAAGAGAACTTAGAGTTTTCCGCCATAAATCCAGATATATTGACCTAATCAGCAAAAAGGAGATGGTACTGTATCTACTTATCCCGGCCAAACTATCTTGGTGAATGGACAACTTTGATAGTTTTGGATTTTCCAAATCCATGTCATGCAATGTGTTTGGTCTGTTTAAGGTGGTTTTAATATCTGATTGGTGGTTTGGAACATTTTTATTTTTCCATTTCATATATGGGATGTCATCCTTCCCATTGACGTTCATATTTTTCAAGATGGTTATTGCACCACCAACCAGGGAATATTAACCATCATTAAGCATGGTGAAACCATATTTTCCCCACTGTTTCCCATTGATATGTGGTTTTAACGTGATTTTACCATTGTCCAACCACCACAAAAGAGCGGGTCAAACATTGGCTCGGGATCGCTGGGCCAGGGCTTGGATCGCTGAACCACGGGACGGACATCGTGAACAAAGCCATCTACGGCCGAATCGAACAGGCCCAAGCTGGGGAAATCCGGTTCAATCCTAATTATTGTCAAATCTGGTTGGTGCTTTGGAACCATGGAATTTTATGACTTTCCATTCAGCTGGGAATTTCATCATCCCAACTGGCGAACTCATATTTTTCAGAGGGGTAGGTCAACCACCAACAAGAAATGGTGACTTTGGGACCTAGTATTCAATCTATTCATTCTCAGATCCCACCTTTTTTTCGGGTAATCAATGTTGGGTGGATTGCTAGGTTTCAAGGGGTATAAAGAAGTCCCAGTGATACAGTAGCGGCACAATATGTTGAACCCAGCCCAAACATCCACTTGGGCATGGGTTTGTACCGGGCATTTTTGGTACTGGTACAGTATAGATTCCATACTTATGGGCATGAGAGATCCCAATGATGTTTGGACATGGGCCCACAAGCAGCTTCCTTTTCCCAACGACGATGAACCACTGGCCTCTCTCTACTTTGCGAGCTGCTGGTTTCAAAGATTTTCTGTTCCACCTATTTGGGATAATGATCCACATTGACGAACATATTGTCAGATGGTTTGAAACTTGAAGCCAATCACATCATGTTTCACATTTATAAAGTTCTGCAATTCCCAGAATTCTCCCGGATTTGGACTCACAACTGTGTCCCAAAGAAGTGTCACATGGTCAAACCATAGATGGAGCTTTCCATAGTGGCATTACTCCTAGTTATCCTCCATTTTGGACCGTTCGAACGACATTTTCCCCATCCAGCTGGGAATCCCCCCATGCTGCAGGCGGTCCTTCGGAGTTTGAAGCTGTCAGAAGCTGAGTGCAAAAATCGCAGCCAGTTGTGGTAACTTCATGTTGAACATAACTATCAGAGGATCTTTGTTGTTGACCCATAAGTAATTACTTCATATGTCCATCTTTGTTGTTTAATTCTTCATGTGTTTTTCTCTATTATCCGAATCTGCTGATACTTATTAACGTCATATCTCAATAGCATGACTTTTGATCTACAAATATAGTTATAGAAGATATGTCCACCTGTGTTTAATTCTTCATGGTTTCTTTTAGTATGATCCGAATCTTCTGTTGATGAATCCGTCCCATGGTCCCCAGGTGTCGTTCCAGGAACGACCGACGCCAGCTGGTGCGGATGGAATATCAGGCGACGGGTCACTAACGGGTGCTGGGATGTGTCTGGGTGGTATACCCCAAAAAAAATGCTACTAATAAAGGCTGGTTGGTGGTTTGTCACATGAATTTTATTTGTCCATTCAGTTGGGAATTTCATAATCCCAACTGACGAATATTTTTTCAGAGGGGTAGGTATACCGTATACCACCAACCAGAAGGGAACATAGTGGGAAAGTGTGAGATTTTATGGGATAGGCCAATGTTCAGACAAAGCCATTTATATTCCTTTATACTTTTATACCGTCCTAGATCGTCCTAGTACTACTTGTTTAATTTCTTTCGGGGTTACTGTCATAGACGATCTACAGGTATACTTCAGGGTAAAACCAAATTAGTTTCTGCGGGATTTTCCCCAAAAAACCACTCGATTGACAATGGATCTAACCTCTTAATGATGAACAATCATGAGCCATCCTTGCCTGGTTGGCGCTTTGGAACCATGGAATTCTATGACTTTCCATTCAGTTGGGAATGTCATCATCCCAACTGGCGAACTCATATTTTTCAGAGGGGTAGGTCAACCACCAACCAATTGCATATGGGATTCTAATTCATGAACAGTTCCAATATTTAATATCCAATCCAATGGGGCAGTGTTTGTTGCTAGGAGGATGGGACTGTGATGGACTGATTGGGGTGCCCGAAAAGGACATGGAATGGTTTGTCCAAACTGTTACCCTCTGGTAAACCTAACATAGCTATTGAAAATGGCCATTTATAGTGGATTTACCCATTAACAAATGTGATTTTCCATAGTTATGTTAGTTTACCAGAGGGTAGTTTGATATTGTTTCTGGATCTATCCTTTTTGGATGTTCACGTTTTGGGTTATTGTTTATACACCCCCCAGATTTAAGATGGCGCCCAAAGATTGCAAATATATTGAAGTATGGAACATCATCTTCCAGACATTTTCATGGATCTAAGTTAAACTGCACTGGTTGGTTTAATATTGGTTAATTGTGGTTTATAATGGTTGATTATGGGCCGATGATGGTTGATGTGTTTTTTGCCAAATATGTGGGATGAGTAATGTGTTTTTTTGCCTCAAATATGTGGGATGATGATCGCCAACGGCTACTCTTGTTCAGGTGGCTTGAAACCAGTACAGTAATCAGAGAACCATTCTTAGCCATTATTAGGAACTGTTGATCATTATTAGCCATTCCTAATAATCAACAAATATCGAGATCATAAATATCAATTATATCAAGAAACAAGTAATTATTGATATATAGAAATAATTTTCAACATAATCAACAACTAGACATTCTCAATCATTATCAACAAATATCAAGAAACAGTTTAGCCATGGATCACCATTCTCATTGCACCGGTCAATATGTTGGCCACTATCAACCATTGGAAAACCATGGCTAACCATTATTAGCCCATTATTAACCACCATTAACCACTGATAACCAATATTAACCATAATCAATCCATTCTGAACCATGGTTAACCCCTTATCACTGCACCAGTCACACTTCGTTTTTGCTGTAGTGAACTGGTCGCCAGGGCGCTGTTCCCTTGGCGATCGCGGATATCGCCAGCCCACAGGCGCGTTGGCAAAGTTTTATGGAACAGAATGGAGAGCCGTGTTTTTTCCTAGGACTGGATTATTCATATGGAGATGTTATTCTTAGGGTATCTTGGGGTAGATGATTAGATGGAGTTTTTAAAATGCTTTGATGGAACAATGGACCTAGATGGAGATGTTATTCTTAGGGTAGATGATTAGATGATTAGATGGAGTTCTTAAAATGCTTTGATGGAACAATGGACCTAGATGGAGATGTTATTCTTAGGGTAAATGATTAGATGAGTAGATGGAGTTGTTGAATGGTTTTGATGGAACAATGGACCTAGATGGATATGTTATTCTTAGGGGTGGATTAGATGAGTAGATGGAGTTGTTGAATGGTTTGATGGAACAATGGACTACAAAAAAATGCAAAAGCTGTTGCAAGCAGCTTGAAACCACTTCATTTTGCCACCCCTGAGGTGAAAAAAAGGAGGCAAACAAGATGTAAGGCCAAACTTGTTGGCAGGTCCGGCCAACATCCTTGACACCAAGCCCACCAGCGTCACAGGTGGGATGGATTTTTCTGAAGAGTGGACCCTGGATGAGTCAATAGCTGCTGTACATACAGGAACACCATATGATAGGGATTTCTATGATTTTTGAGGAGATGATTTGCTGTTGGGATAGATTATCATCCGATTTCTGAAATTGAATATACCAGTATCAGGGGTTTTTACCACCCACATTTTCAATGTGGACACCACCCAACAAACATCAATAAACCTCAGAACACGAGAATACTCACAATACTTGGGGGTGCAGCTGGGGTATTGATAACCATGGTGACCCGCAATAAGTTGGGATATGCGGGCCCTACATACTATGGTCACATATATCCAATTGTGAGTAGAACAACATCGCCAAGAACGGTTTGGTCAGAATTATATACCCTTAAGGGAATTAATATAAACCCTGGCAGTCATCGGGGTTGGAAGATTGGTGTCCACCAACAATTGGTGATGTTCAGGGTCCAACTGTGAATTTACCAGTAAATTGCTGAAGCAAATTTCAGAATCCTGCATTGTCTCATCAATTTCCCAATGGGACAAAATGGTGGGTCAAACTCTGATTTTCTGTGATGAAACATCCTACGAGGTGGTGACCCAGTTAGCTAAGTTGCTAACTACAATGCAGTTCTGGTAGAGATATCTATGGTTAATGGGATTTATAAACTCTAATTGGGGCCCACCTTGTATTGTACCGGTCTCTATTCCATTTTGTAGCCTTAGTGCAGACTTGCGAATGATTGTAATTTGGCCAGATCCCCTGGTCGGCTGCTTGGTTTATCCGAAAATATCTCAATTCCAATGGATGATCATCATGATCATCCTATCATAAAATGGCTAGTTGGCAGTACACTAACCATCTTCAGACGCAGCGATCCATATCAGATTGTTGGTGAAATATCCAGCAAAATGATCAAATCATCAGTATTATCCCATGATGTCCTCATGTTTGTTCAATTTTGTTCCTATGTTTTATCCAATATTGTTCATCAACACATTTTCCCATTATATCAAAATTATCTTATTGTCAAACTTATTGTCCATTAAATCCCATGAAAACAGCATTGTTTGTGGTGATTAAGCCCCCACTGTTGAAGAAGTGGCTTGTCCAGGTGCTGAGCCCGCAGCCGTGGCCTAACACGCCTGGGAGCCTGGTCAGATTCTGGCTAGATCTGGTTAGATATGGAGGTTTCCATAAATGGATGTACACCAATAGCTGGATGATAGGTTTATAGGCCAATGACTATGGGTTTTACAGGTGATATATCTATAGTTAATGGATGTTAATGGGTTTATAACCAATTTATCTGGGTAAAATATAAATGGCATAGATGTCCTTTTCCCATTGGTTGGTTGATTAATGGAGGATTGTTTGTTTACCCCTTTAACAACAGGTAAATGATGATAGATGGTAAACCAAACCGGTCCCTCTATTTTTACCAAAAGGACATAAAAGGACATTATTGATAAATGGAGGTACATCAACAGCTGGATGATTTATTTCATGGAAAGTCCCCAACGAAAATGGAATAGCATTGGTGTTTGGGGAAGAATCGCTGAGTTGTGGTTAAGTATTAAGTACTAGGGAAAATCAACGTAAATTTGGGTGAGTATGGGAAAATTCACGAAATTAACTAAGGCTAACCGCATTCTAACCGCATTTTTGGGTGCAGTTTACTACTTAAGTGTTTTTGCTATAAATGGGGACAGTCTGGAATAGCATCTTACTTCAACCACCAAGAAAATGTTACTTTTTTTGTACGGTCTTCAAGATTGGCCACGGTTTCAGGTTTGCCTTGGTCTATGAATTTCCAAAGTAGAGCCATCTTCACAACGCTATGGTCCATTTTGACATCAACCTCAGCCACTGGATCGCGCAAGACCAGGCAAAGGAACTTGAAAAAGAAGTCAAAGCAGAAGTCTTCCGTGCCTGGCGAAGGATCGGCGTCACGAGCAGAGACGCTTTCACACAGACAGACAGCAAGAAAAAGTTTGTGGCTCAGGTTACTCACTGCTATCAGCGCATCTTTGATGGCCTTTGTGATGAACCTGGACCAGTTCAGGTCGGATGTGACCCACATGAAGGGATCCGCTGGCCCAATTGGCTAGAGGTGAATGCGCCGCTAATTGCACGTGGGGATGCCTGTTTCTTTTCTGGTGTAAGCATGACAGAAGCAGAAGTCAGAGCTGCTTCTCTCATGTTTTTACCATACCCACAGGTTTACCCACAATGGTTGCAATGGCGCCTACAACTGGTGTGAAGAAGGACAGCACTAAGGCTGTGCCAACGTGCCTCGTCATTACACGGGCTGGCTTCTTGTGATTGCCTGTGGCATGAACCCGCACAGAGGACACCCAAATTGGCACACGCCTGGACCCTTCAAAAAAAACACTCTGGAAAACCTTGCGCCCCAACCCCCCCTCCTTCCACTCCCCGCCCTTGCAGTATGGTTGCCTCCATCCCCTGCAATAAGCAATTATTATATATTGTTTTCTCCCGCCCCGCCTAAGGATAAAAACATAATTGTACTGCATTCCCTCCCGCTCTCCTCCCTTCCCCCCGCCCTTGCATTTTCGATGTCGCTGCTTCCCATCCATTTGCAATCAGTGATGGTAATCCCCCGCCCCCCCCAGAAGAAATAGTACTGTAATAATAATAATGATAATAATAATAAATAATAATAGACTCCCTTCCCCCCGCGTCCTCCCTTTTCCCCGCCCTTGCAGCTTCGGTGTGGCTGCTTCCCAGCCAGTGGCAATAAGTTAAAATAATTTCCCGGCCTCCCCCCAGCAGAAAAAACAAATACTAATAATCGCTTCCCCTTCCCTCGTCCCCCTCCCTCGCTCTTGCAACTTCGGTGTGGCGGCTTCCCAATCACTGCAAGCGGTATAACCCGGTAATGATAATCTCCCGCCCCCCCAAGAAAAAATATGATTTTTTAAAAAATGATAATAATAATAATAACATTAATAATAATAATCAACCCCTCACCCCCCTCGTCCCGTCGCCCTCGCAGCTTCGGTGTGGCTGCTTCCGATCCATTGCAATAATTACTGACAATACCCCCTCCCCTTTGAAAAACGGTTGCGAACGCGGCCTCCTGGTTTCCTATGGTTTCCTGTGGTTTCACCTTGCAAGTATCTTCTCAAGACATTGCATCCTATTAAATCCCATTAAATCATATGTTTTTATAGTTTCTCCATGGTTATCCCATTCAAATACGTGGCTTACAACCCCCCACCTTCTCAAAAAAAATCACTGAGGCCAGCTACCCAGCAAGCGGAGGCCAAACCCAGGGGAAGGCAATTGGGGTGCCAACCTCAGTCCGCGGTTTTTTTGCCCTACGGCCGAAGGGCCTTGCCTTGGGATATTCTTGGGATGCTGGGCATTGGGATAATTGTACAATAGGTCTGGGTAAATTATAACGACCTCACTGCGACTTCACTGGAATCATAGTTAGTAAGGGAAATAATCCCCAAATGGCCTTAATTCAGGTTAGTGAAATATTACAATTTACCCAGACAGGGATATATGGGGGTTTCCTGAGTCATGGATTGTCATGGGGGATCCAATTTTAAGCTCGATGGGGACTTTTTTTTATTGGAAAATCCCATCTTAAATGGATGATGTAGTGGTACCCCTATGGATTGGAAACCTCCGTCTGAGTTAATACGGGACTACAATAGGGATATCTATAGGGATATACCCTCTGGTAAACTAACATAGCTATTGAAAATGGCCATTTATAGTGAGTGTTCCCATTAAACATGGTGATTTTCCATAGCTATGTTAGTTTACCAGAGGGTAATTGGGAAAATCATGGGGATACCATGATGTTAAAAAAATGCAGAGCCATATGTTCCACCATGGGAGAACGGTGATTTAACATGATTTAAGTATATTTTTAGTGATTTAAGGAAGAAAACTTGGGTTAATGGGATATGTTGGTTATATATATATATACAGATTACAGTATATATTTGTTTTTCTGACATGGGGGATCCCCAATAGCTCGATGGGTTATTTAATGGAAAATCCGAAGACAAAATGAATGATTTGGAGGTACCCATATTTTTGGAAACCACCATATCAGTTTTCAACAAAAACTCAATGTTGTTTGTTCATCATATTCCCTGCCAATAGAAACAGATAGACATAACTGAATTGTAGGTACCTCAGACTTAGGTACTTGCAATGGGCACCTCATGTTGCAATGTTTCCAAGTGCGGTGCAGCTCAATCAGCAAGCCATGACGCTAGGAAGACAAAACGGAAGATTGGTTTTTGACAAACAGAGATGTAGCTTCACAGAATTGGATGATGGGATAATTTACCATGGATTGGTTTAAGGGAAAATCTACAGAAAACCATGGTATTTAGCATCAAATATAGGAGGTTCCTATGGTTTCCTGTAAAGTTGTCCCATCATCCATTTCTGTGATTCATACTAAACATAGACATTCCATGACATTCCAAATGTTTTTGGTATAGTATAGACCTATTATTCATACCCAGATGTTTTTGGTATAGTTTTGACCCATACCCATTCCATATCTGTGGGTTCCTTCCGGGTTCTAATAATCTATGTCCCCAGCACCGAAATCTGTCCCCATTTTTGCTTCAAGGTGCCGCCTACGATGATGGGGACAACTCATTGTGGCGAGCAAAAGGAAGGATTTCGTGGGGAGATGTCCACATGACTATTGGGTGCAGTTGGGAATTCGTAGCGAATCCCATGAAATCCCACTGAAATTCGTACTAAATCCCATCAGCTCGTATGATTCTTCAAGATAGAATATGATAGAATAATATAGATCCCATGAATTATCTCATTATATGGAGGTTCCTAAGTCATGGGGATACCCCAAATCATCCAAGGCATGCGATCAGTTTAGTATTGAAACTTACGGTTTTGGGGATTGATCTTTCATGATATTCCACCATGGTAAATGGTTTATAAGCCCCATATAACTAATGATATTCCATAAATGGGCTACGATGATTGTCCGCTTTTAAACGGGTACTATGACTCGACTATGAAGTTAATCATGATAATATATCTCTTCCATAATTTGGTGTCCCCACGGTTGTACAGTAAGTGGTGTACGTTGGCTTAATTATACACAACTAACAATAGTTTCATATAAACAATTTGGCTGTCGTTTGGCGGGCTTACCTTGTACAACTATCTCCAGTAAATATAGTTGAGAATATGATGATAAAGTAGTTGTTTATGGTTAAACGTGTTGGGAGTGCGATATGTTTTTCGATATATTGGCATATTGTGGGGATGATTACATACGCACTATCCCATGCATTGTATGATGATGTAAGATGTAGTTGGTAACCTAGTTACTAGTATGGTTACTCGTATTCATCCTAATACGGTTAACTTAAATACTAGAGCATAAGTTACTCATATACTTAACGGTGATACAGTTGATGATGCAGTGTCTCATAATTAATAGTATATACTTTAATAGCTGAAAACACATAGTATATTACTGCATAGTAACTATAATAACTATCATACTATCATTCTAGTAACCATATGCATACTATCATTCTACTCCTCGCTGTGCCCAATAGAGTTACTCATACAGTTGTAATTAATATACGTTTATCTAATATTAACCACTAGTTACTTACACCAATATACCGTATATACTGTATATAGTTATATTGTGTATATACGTATACTATATAATAGGTACACACATAAACTATAGTTATATTTATTAGTATACTATGTTAGTACATATGATGTAGTTATTATATATGTTCCTTAGTTATTATAGTTATTATAGTTATCAAACATCCTAACTATAGTTATTATATATAATGATAACTACTAACTATAGCTATTACTATAACTAATAGTATCCTTTTAATGATGGATAGTTATTAGTTCCACCCCAGGTACAGCGAGGTGGCCCCGGCCCTGCGCGACTATCGCGCTGCCTGTCTCAACGTGGCGAAGGGCACTGAGGCGCCGCCTTGGGGGTACCCGGCCCTGGGGGTAGGCTGTGGGTTTCCCCATGGGAACAGCCATAGGAAAATGGTGATTTCACCAACAAAAATGGGGAGTTCATGGGATTTATAGCTGATTATAGGAACTATGGTTTACAAGTGGCTGAATTAACTATGGTTTATGGTAGATACAACTACGTATAGACAATTATGGTTAATGGGGTTTATAAACCAAAAAGCATCACTGCAGAGCACCATCCTGTATGGCAATTGGATGGAACATGATCCAGTTTATTACGATTTTGATATATAGCAAACATATGGAAAGATCATGATTCATTGATAAATCACAGATGATTTGGTATTTTGTTTTAAATTACTGGTATGTGTGGAATCGAATTTGAAATCTCTCTTGAATCACTCAATCAGTTTCTCCCCTCATGGAGCTGCATGTAGGCTCACCCCCTTGCTAGCGGTTTTTGGAAAATTGATGGATCTTTAATCTTTAGTCGGGAAGCATTTAGCGTCACTTTGCATGTCCTGAATCTGAACTATGATAATTATGGATTTTGATCGATCTTATCGTAAAAATCAGCCATAATTATCATTCTGGATTCATAACTGTCGGTTCTATAATTATTTCCAATATGATTCATGATGGAAATAGCCCAACTCTGGGCTCTCAGTTTGTTTTCTGGATGGGTTCACCTTTTGTACCTCGAAGTGGACCAACTTAGCAGAGAATCAACACGAATATAAGCCAATATTGCTATATACTAGGCCAATCTTTGGGTAGAAACTATCCTAACCAGTTTTTTTGGTATCAATGGGATTATCTACGTTCACCAGCTAAGAATTTCTCATTTGTTGCAGGGTATCTGGCTGATTGGCCATGTATATAGCTATGGAAGTTATGGCCCAGTTCTAGAGGCTTTACGGTCTCAAGCTGGGTGTCCGACACCGCTATGTGAGAAATTACCAGAAGGTTGGAAAAATAAGGAGCTTCATCTATGGAAAATGGCCATAGAAATAATGGATTTACTTATGAAAAAATGTGATGTTCCATGTTGGTAATACAATCCGATCCAGTTGATATCTCACTAGATTTACCATGAAAATGATCCATGCGCAAAGGGCAATATTCCAAACATGGAGCATATTGAATTCATTTATGACATATATATATATATTATATTTCTAATTTGTTTTGAGAATTATTATGCATACCTCCGGAAATCATTGGAAGGGATACCCTCTCTGGTAAAAAGACATCATGGAAAATCACCATTTTTCATGGGTAAATCAACGAACTAAATGGCCATTTTCAATGGCAAACTGTTAGTTTACCAGAGGGTATTTCTGGAGCGGAAAAAATCATTGCTAACCGCTGGAATCTGATGCTTAGGTGGATCATCCAAATACTGAAGAAATCTCGGCAAAATCCCACAAAAGCTACCGAGAACGGCGTTGCTAGTCATTGTTGATAGTCTATGTGTTTTTGACATTGATAAGTTTTAAATATGACATAATATGACCATATATCCCCATGAACATCATGAAAGTCATGAAATCAACCATGATCAATCCATAAAAATGGACATACCCTCTGGGAAACATGCAAAAAACAATGGAAAATCACCACTTTTTTATGGGGATTCATCCACTATTTCTATGTGGGTAAACAGATCACAGATCTCCTTCACGAATCACCGTGGCATCGGCAGGTGACTGTGGCGGATGCCTTTGAGGTGGTCCCGTGGTGAAGAATTTCATGGTCTCAATGGGGCATTTTTTTTTACATCAAATCACATATCTGGCTGAGCTTCCTGGTGAGCTCAGATTGGTTCGGTTGGGGGGGATGGGACTCATAGGAAATACCTTGGAAATATTGGATGAATCATATCTGGTTGGTGGTTTGGAACATGTCTTATTTTTCCATATGTATTTATATATATATATATATTGGGAAGAATAATCCCAACTGACGAACTCATATTTTTCAGAGAGGTAGGTATACCACCAACCAGATAAAATCTGGTGATTTGTTTTTCGGGAATCTGCTGATCTTTCAAGTCATTGGATGAAAAAAATACGATTCCGGAGAAGTCAAAGTGTAGTTTTCTTTTCCGCACGTCGCTCTACACAGCCGGTCATGCTGGTGGCTGGAGCAATCAGCCACTTGATGCCCCCACGGCAGAATCACAACTCTTTGGACGGCTGGAAAAACCCTGAACTAAATGGAGGCTTATAGCTGGTAAAATATGGTAAAATAATCTACCCTCTGGTAAACTAACATAGCTATTGAAAATGGCCATTTAATTCGTTGAATTACCCATGAAGAATGGTGATTTTCCATACGTAGTTTTGTTTGTTCACCAGAGGGTATAACTGATGAATGTTCCATTGCCATATTTGATTCCGGGAGATTTTTGCCAAGAAATATAAGTTAGAATCTATACTCACTAGCTATTTTTGTTGGGTATTGAAGGTTGCAGCTAGGTAAGTCTTGATTTATCCAATTTGTTGTTGCTAGTGATATTCCCTTGGTGACATAGTATCGCACCGTGGCCTGCACCCTAGCCATGTTCGATAGCCATTAGTAGCCATTCTAAATCTGTCTGATATCCGATATCCTCAGTATTTCATCTCTCATCATGCTGAAAAGCCCAATGTTTGATGATCAAAAGGCGACAAAACCCCATGGTTCGATGGTTCAAACACGTTAAAACTCAGTGCTTTGATGGTTAAAACAGAGTAAAACTCCATGCTTTGGCTGAAACTGGCTAAATTTGGGCTGATGAGATCACCAAGGATGTGACTGGCAAGATGAAAGCTTGGCCCAGGGCTCGGTCCGTTGTCTCTTGAGGTTCAGTATCGAAAAAGCGCTCTGGTTGCATCAGAAATTGGTGATTATGAACCGGTGTATTGAATTATATGTATGTATGTAATGTAATGTAATGTAATGTAATGTAATGTAATGTAATGTAACGTAACGTAATGTAATGTAATGTAATGTAAGTATGTATGTATGTATGTATGCATGTATGTATGTATGTATGTATGTATGTATGCATGTATGTGTATATATATATATATATGAATATAGTTTTAGTATATTAGATCATGAATATATATATATATATTATATATATGTATGTATATATATATATCGCAACTGTATCTGATTCATCTGATGTCTAGCTATTTAACCATGGTTTAACCATCCAAAGTGGTGATTTAATAGAATTGAATGGGATATCATGGAGATACCCTCTGGTTATGTAGCATACTTGGAAGCTATGGAATCCTGGCCCATTTGGTTCGATGAAAATGATGATTTACCATAGCACACCGTCAAATAACCGGACGGTAAGTGGTGTCATGTACCAGCCATACAGGAGTAGGAGTAGGTAGTAGGAGTAGGTAGTGGGAGTAGGTAGTAGTAGTAGGTAGTAGGTAGTAGGTAGTAGGTAGTAGGTAGTAGGTAGTTAGACTTAAAGAAGTTGTGTACTTAATTTTCACCAAACATCAGTTTCGATACTTAATGGGTTCAGAAGCCAACTTGTAATACTGCAACTGAGGAGCACCAGCTTGTTTCTTAAAACATGTCAACCATTAAGTTTTTTTTGTTTGGCAAGATGAGGTTAGAAGATAACAGGGGAAACAGTTTGCCCCGGCTACTGCGCACGCGCTGC